TGAAAAACCAGATTGACAGATAAGGAGCTGCATAGTGATTTTGACAAGTGAATGCCTGCTGGGCGTAGGATCCCCTAAGCTTTAACATCATGAACCGGGGTGGCAGTTTGGCATCTTTGCCCTGGGCACTGGATGACCTTGTCTGGGTACTGACTGTGTCTGGAGTAAAAAGCCTGAAGTGCATGAAGCCATTAGCCTGTGTATCCAGAGCAAAAACCTTTCTTATGACTTTTATGTGGAACAGGTTCTAGGATCTCGGCATGTGCCTATCTAAACAACCAGAAACTTCCTACCTCTCTAGGTGTTGTCCCAAGGGAAAATCAAGTATTCACTTGTACTCACTGAGACATCATAGACTGTTGATGCCATCTATTGATCTAGTTGGAAAACTGCTCCTAGGGGTTCCTGTTGTTTTTGTAACAATTACAGTACTGGTTGTTCAACTTTATCTTGTGTGCATAGCTTTTTGTTCTGTCACCCTGTTTGTACAGTTAATCCTATTTTTCATTTATTCAGTAAACTCCCTGTTGTAAAGCTCCCTCTCTCTGATCAATTGGCTAATCCCTAAATTGTGCTGGACTGTCCTGCATTTTGACCCTATGGCCACAAAGGCTCTGCCCCTGTCCACTGAGTCCACAGCTTATTCATATGCAAATGGTCAATGGATTCACATGACCTGGTGAATCAGTGACCTGATCACAGGATTTGCATATGAATGAGCTTTACTGGCTCATTCATATGCAATCCTCTGCCACTACAGTATATTGCAAGCCAAGGGAATCTCATCCTTGCCTTCACCCAAAAGAAGGACTTCCTGCTGCATCTTTCTATTCCCCAGTTTGTTTATGTCCTTATTATGATAAATCTTTCAGTACCATGTGGGATTCTTTTCAAAACTGCTGCTGGAACATCTGCATATTACCCATATGGTCACACTTTTTTTCACTGGCCAAACCAACGTTTCGCTGCAGTGTGCTACATATGCTCATTCTGCCCCTTTAAAAATTGTCCCTCTTTGTCAAGTTCAAAAGACGGGATATATGTTATTAGGGCCCAGACCATGTGATTAAAAGGGTGCTGCAATGACTCCTAACTCGTCAAAGTGTACAACATGGATGGAATTAGGTATGTGCCAAAGGAGAGATCCTTGCATGGTCCCACAAAATTGCTTTTCTATGTGATCATACAAAAATAAAGATATTTGCACTTTGAAGCTTGTCAGTGTGCTGGTTACATGCAGGGATTGGACAAAAATATGGAAACACTACATGATTTACAGATGTGAATATAGCGACATGTTTTGCACAGAAGCGATGTAACATTCTTTTGCTTCCGCTGTGTGAAGAGACAGCTGGCTACAGGTGGGAAGCTTCGTCATTCACTGCATGCACTGCTAGTAATTCTGAGTCATGTCAATGCTTACTGAGCTTCAAAGAGGGGAAATTGTTGGTGCTCGCTTAGCTGGTGCCTCTGTGACTGAAGTTGCCAATTTATTTGTTGTGTTGCGAGGTAGAGTATCAAAGGTTATTGCGGTATCAGGGGCGGACTGACAACTCATGGGGCCCCCGGGCAATAGGGGATCATGGGGCCCCTGTGTCCTTGCCCAAACTCAAAAATGCCTATGAAAAAGGTACCAGGGGCATCTCATGGGACCCCCTACTGACCACGGGCCCTCAGGCAGTGCCCGAGTTTTCCAAATGGTCAGTCCACCCCTGGGCGGCATATACAGATTCCAGGAAAACTTCATCTGATAAGCATAAGTGCGGTCGACATGATCAACTGACTGAAAGGGTCAAAAGGACATTGTACAGGATTGTGACCCTGAATAAGAAAACAACTGCTGCAAAAGTGACTGCAGCAGGGGCGGACTGACAACTAATGGGGCCCCCCCGCAATAGGGGATCATCTGGCCCCTGTGTCCTTGCCCAAACTCAAAAAAGCCTATAAAAAAGGTACCAGGGGCATCCCATGGGGCCCCCTACTGACCCCGGGCCCTCAGGCAGTGCCCGAGTTTCCAAATGGTCAGTCCGCTCCTGGACTGCAGAGCTCAATCTCAGTCTTCCCAAGCCTGTGTCCACAAAAAATGTGTGGAGGGAACTCCATAAGCAAAACATTCATGGGAGAGCTGCAATTTCCTAACCACTGGTGACTGATATTAATGCTCAGAAGAGGAGAAAGTGGTGCAACACCCATAAATCGTGGACTAATAATCAATGGAAGACTGTAATATGGTACAATGAATCGAGCTTCACACTGTTCTCAACCACTGAACGTGTTTACATGTGGCGTACACTGTCCCAAGCTGACAACCAGGACTGTCTTGTACCAACAGTAAAGCGTGGTGATAGCGCAATCATGGTTTGGACAGCCATATCTTGGTATTCTGCAGGCCCCATTATCACCTTGAAAGGTAAAGTCGCTGCCAGTGATTATATACAAATTTTGGCCAACCATGTGCACCCCATGGTGCAGACATTGTTTCTCAAAGACAGCACCATTTATCAAGACAATAATGGTCCAATTCACACAGCTGGTGTTGTCACATTGTGGTTTGACGAGCATGCAGATGAAGTCTCACACCTGCGCTGGGTGCCACTGTCGCCAGACCTTAATATCATAGAGCCACTATGGTCAATTTTGGAGCACAATGTTCAGGCTCGTTTTTCACCTTCAGCATCTCTGCAAGGACTAGAATAATTTTTGTGTCCGTGAGACTCTTGCTTGTGGCACAGCAATCAAAGCATATTTTATAGGTACAAGAAAGCATGCCTCCTTAGGCCCCTCCCACTGTTAAACATTTGGCCACAACTGGCTACGCACGCTGTAGGTCACTTCCTACCTCAAGAGTCCCTCCTTCTTAAGTTAAAAAGTTGGGAGGTATGGTATATGCTAAGTGAAATGTGGGGTGACCTAGCCATACACTGAGCTGTATGTACTGTATACGCCACACCATTCCACTCTAAGCGCTGTGCTCTATGCTATATACTCCATAATGTTAAGCATTACAGCACTGATATATTAATAGACAGTGGCAATTTGTACCACTGGGACTACTGAATTCCACCCTGTTTTATGAACAGGCACACCTTGCCTAGTATTAAAATAATTAAAAAAGACAAATACTACATCTGATTATACAAACTATAATGCCATTGTGCCAAGTTTACATTTAGATAGTACACCAGATGACACTAGTCATATTTGCCTAAATTCTTTACCTGGGTTCCTTAGTACTCATAGGACCTCCAATCTATACAGAGTTTCATGCAGTTTCTGTGTTTGTCACTAGATGGCACACTCATCACAGTGAGAATGGTATGCCCCCATCAAGTGCCTCTGTTTCAGGTGAACTGTTCTGTTGTCAATATTGACTATTTTTATCTCTGGATGCTTATGCACACCTGGATCACTGGGAATTCCATATTTTCACTTTTGATTGGTTTTATTATCAATTTCATAAAAAACAATAACATTGACTTAAAGAATATGTAAACCCGACATTTCATATTCTTGATATGTACCTGCTGTACCATGTAGTTGTGTGAAAAAGTATCCTGTTCTCTTTGGATTGCTTCCTTTGTGTTAAATCTCTGGTGTTCCCGCCAGTCCCTTTGCTTTCCTATTAAAAATTGACCACACTAGGCAGGAGTGTACAGCGTGGTCAGTTCTCTAGCTGTGCTGGGTACTAAGCCTGCTCTCCTCCAATGATAAGGCTTGTGCTGATATGATCCCCCATACAGCTATTCACTGGGAAGATCAGTGTACCACTATTTCTCTTCCCCCAGCTCTTAGGCAGCTGAGAACAGAAGTACTGTGATCACTTATAAAAAAGGGGAATAAAAAGTGTTTACATATTTTTTTTAACCACTTCCCGACCGCCCTATAGTAGAAATACTGCTACAGGGTGGCAAGGGTGTGCAAAATCACGTGTAGATATACGTGATTTTGAAACTCCAGGTAGGGGGCATGCGTGTGGCCATTCGCGGCCGTGGCTGTCAATCACCGGGTCCCAGTCAGTGATTACCCGCCAGTGTCCAGTGATTATCTAGAATATCCGATTTTATTTACTAACAGTTCTCTTCCCTGTCAGTTTGGGCACACTGCTCTGCATAGCTGTGCACAGCACAGCCATCCAGAGCAGGGTGATTACAGTGCAGCACCAACACACTGCCCCCTAGTAAAACACTCCCTGCACAGCTAACCCTTTGATCGCCCCTCATGTTAACCCTTTCCTGCCCAGTGCCATTAGTACAGTGTCAGTGCTTATTTTTAGCACTGATCACTGTATTGGTGTCACTGGGGATGTCAGTGATGCCAAGTCAGTTCCCACCAGTGTCAGAATGTCCGCCGCAGTCCCTCTATAAGTTGCTGATCGCCACCATTACTAGTAGAAAAAAAAAAATTCCAGTATCTATACTGCCATTTGTAAACACTATAACGTTCACATAAACCAAATAATCTACACATATTGGGATTTTGTTTAGCAAAGACATGTAGCAGAATACGTTTTGGCCTAAATTTATGATGAAATTTAATTTTTGAAATTTTTTTACTGGACATATTTAATAGCAAAAAGTCAAAAATATTGTTTTTTTTCTCAAAATTGTCGGTCTTTTTTTTTTTTATAGCGCAAAAAATAAATATAAAATGCACGGGCGATCAAATACCACTGAAAGAAAACTCAATTCATGGGAAAAAAGGACATTAATTTAATTTGGGTGCAGCGTTGCATGACCTCGCAATTGTCAGGTAAAGTAACGCAGTAAATGGCCTGGCCAGGAAGGGAGGTAAATCCTCTGGACGGCAAGTGGTTAATTTACACACAAATGTTTTGCCTTTCATTTCTATTTTAAACTGAATGGGTTGTTTTACAAGGTGAGGGTTTATATACACTTTAGAGGGAGAAGGAATCTCATGCATACTTTCAAAAGGGCTGTGCAAAATCACGTATATATACGTGATTTTGTATTTCTGGGTAGGGGCGCACGCCCTACCCATGCCGCCATTGGCGGCTACAGCTGTCGATCATCGGGTCCCAGCCAGAGATTCCCCGCCGGTATCACTGGTATCATTGCCGAGTATCACTGGTGGGGGAGAGGTCTGTATGTAAACAATACAGGTCTCTCCCTTGTCAGCTCCAGCATGCTGCTTTGTATTGCTCTGCATAGCAGAGCAATACAAAACAGCATGCCTCCCTAGTAAAACACAGCACACAGTAAAACACACACAGCACACAGTTAACCCTTTGATCGCCTCAGATGTTAACCCCTTCCTGCCCAGTGTTATTAGTACAGTGTCAGTTTTATTAGCACTGATCACTGTATTAGTATCATAGGAGATGTCAGTGACAGTTAGTCAGTTCCCCCCAGTGTCAGAATGCCCGCCGCAGTCCTGCTTTAAGTCGCTGATCGCCGCCATTACTAGTTTAAAAAAAAAAGTCAGTATATACTGTATATATATTTGTAGACGCTATAACTTTCACATAAACCAATTAATTTACACGTATTGGAATTTTTTTCAGCAAAGACATGTAGCAGAATACATTTTGGCCTAAATTTATGACGGAATTTGATTTTTAAAAATGTTTTTACTGGATGTTTTACAGCAAAAAGTCAAATATATATTTTTTTTTCCAGACTTTTTGGTGTTTTTTTTTTATAGCACAATTAATAAAAAACACAGGGGCAATCAAATACCACCAAAAGAAAGCTCCATTTGTGGGAAAAAAGGGCATACATTTAATTTGGGTGCAGTGTTGCATGACCGCACAATTGTTAGTTAAAGTAACGCAGCAAAATATGGCCTGGTCAGGAAGGGGGATAAATCCTCTGGAGAGCAAGTGGTTAGACTACCTCAAAACACACTGACAAATGGCTACTGGTAAGCCACCCCTCTATAGTGAGGGGGTTGGCACGTAACAAAGCTCCAATTATTGGCCCTTTTAACTTAGCTGCCCTAAGTTCAAAGACCATGCAGTGCATTATGGTTACAAAGAACCTCGGACAGGTAGGGTTCTCCTTAAACTTATGGCAGACCTAAAGCTGAGCCTCATCCCTAGTTCCTGTCAATGGTTTTAATGGATGAGTGCAGTGAGGCTGATTTGTTAGTTTACTTACCTTGCTGTCTCCAGGGTTGCAGAGTTAAAGATTTTCATCATTCTGCTTCCATTACTAAACCTTCTCCTCCTGTATCAAAGTCTATGGCAAGTTTATGACATCCAAGCAGATAAAACTGCTTCAGCCAGAAATATATGGCACATGATTATAGAATAGCATATCACCATGGAGGTGGGTGAATTCAGTACATTAGCCTTTGGCAATTTCTTGGTCTAGAACTTTTTTAGTAGCTAACGAAGAAATTAATAATAGAAGAAAATCTGTGAGCTCTCAAAGACTAGGGATTGGGAGGCAGTTCCGTAAAATTCACTTTATTTAGTTCTGAAACATTTTATCAACGTAGTAAAACTGATAATGGATTCACTTGTAAATTTTGTACTGGAATATTTCCCAGCTCACAGTTTGCTAATACCTTAAAGTGCCCAAGGACAAGATTACATTAGAAATGCATTTACTCATTAGAGAAATATCTTACATAACCTAATGTAGCAAGTCCATTCACCAATAAAGCAGCACTATTCTTGATAATTTGATCGACAGTTTAAATGAAACTGCCAGATGTCAGGGAGAAAATGTTCTTCAAAAAAAGAAGCTATGTACTGACTGCAGTAAAATTTGCCATTAAAATGGTTGTAAACCCTTACATATAGCCTGTATAATTTGTACCAGTTTATCTGTAGTCATCTTTTCTCGACATGCATTCAAAGTGCAGAATTTATACAACTTCTCTGAGCTTCCAGAAAGTAGGGGGTGGGGAGCTGAAGTTATACTCTGCAGAGCTCAGTGAAAGCTGATTGGTGGGAACTTACAACATACAGGAACAGAGTTGAGGCTGTCAATCACAGGCTGTGCTGTAGCCCCCCCCCCCCCCATCACTTTTTTTCTTTTGATGTCAGGAAAACTTGTCAGAAGTGGGAAACGAGGCAGCAGACAGAAACAACACTTAGAATAACTGAGAATGGCACAGGTAGGGAAACAACTAAGCTACAACATAATCATACACGTGAATGTTCTGTGGTGGTGCAGGATTATTCTAGAAGGTCTATAGGTCCAAAATATCCCTGGCAGCTCTTCACTGAGACTGAAATGATCTCTTCAATATACAAAAGAAACAGCAGAGGGTGCCAAGTAAGTGCAGTATATTGGAAAATACTTGATTAAAAATAATAAGTGTCAGCTCTCAGGATGCTTAAAGATAAGAGCATGACATCCACCCAGTGCGGTTAGCTGTTGAGCCCAGGGGCGGACTGAAAACTCATGGGGCCCCCGGGCAATAGGGGGTCATGGGGCCCCTGTGTCATTGCCCAAACTCAAAAAAGCCTATGAAAAAGGTACCAGGGGCATCTCATGGGGCCCCCTACTGACCCCGGACCCTCGGGCAGTGCCCAAGTTTCCAAATGGTCAGTCTGCCCCTGGTTGAGTCCCAGTGTGTCTTCGGAAGCCAGGATGCAGATGCCACTGTCAGAAGCTGTGTAGGACACCAGAAACAAAACCGGAAATTCTGAAGCTACCCTGGGCTGCACAAGACTGGAAATGCCGTGACATCTGGGAGGGCTGCAACGTGGGGAGCATGGCTACATGTTTCAGAGTGTAACTGCTCCTTTTTTAAGCCAGAGGCAGAATGGGGTCCTGCCATGCACTAGTGTGGACCTCATGACTGCTCACAATTAACTCCTTCTTCTCTCGTACTATGCGGCTGGATACATTGGGTCTCTGTACCGCAAGTTTGATCCCAGTACTGCTCTGTTGGGGAACCAACCGCTAGGGAGGGAGGTGAGCTACCAACCCCTCTCGCTACTGGAGCACCTGTCATCTGAGCCTGGTACTGCTCCTTAACATCTGGCTGCATAACATTCTCACCAGTTCATGGTTATTCATAGCATCTACTCTCCTCTGTTTTTCTTGCCAAGTTTACCCTTTGTGATGAACTTTCTCTTCTACACCATTTGTGCTTTACAGGCCCTATTCTTCTGATGCCAGGTACCACCAAAGACCCCTTTTAAGTAATTTCAGACCAGACTTTTGAACAGTTTCACATACTTCTGCAACACTACAGAATAACGTGTAAACACAGTCCTCTTAACTGATTAATTTGAAAAAAAAAAACTGATTAATAAAAGTCCAGGAAAGGTAGTATCCATTGCAGGCAGGTCCCAGTGGATGGTTGCTGGCTGCCAAGGGTTACATCTTGCTGGTGTGGACCATATAGTAGGCTCCCATGCAGTCCTCTCTGGATCTCTGGCTCTCTCAGACACAGCATTCCCCCTATTTATATATCCCACAGGGAGGAGGGCCGGCCCAGAAAAAGCCTGGGAAACCAGCCTACCTAGTGTTAACCCTTCCCCACCTGGGCAGCTCTGATACTCCTAGCTAACAGCAGCCTATCTGTAGGCACCTGCTTATGGTGATTTATGGATATCTAATCCATGAGGATACAGTCTTTAATTTGTGAAAATTCCCAGTGCTAGTGCTTTTAATGCTAAAGTGGACCTTCCCTATCCCCATCTGTATTAAATCTGATTACAATAATGCTTTCTGATTAGTAAAACGAATACATTTGTTAGTATTTACTAGGGATATGCCGATGCCAGTATTGGTATTGGTGCCAATACCTAGTATTTTCATGAGTACGCGTACTCGTGAAAATACTCTCGATACCTTAACCGACACTTTGCGGTGCGATTTGCGTTAATGGCCACAAATTGCACTACAAAGGTTAGCATGCTATTTGAACAGGAATGCGATTTCTGTCCAAATCGCATGCGGTTTCCCCACTACTCCTTTGTGAACCCAGGCTTGTCATAGCCGGAGTCCACACAGGAGCAGTGCAGAGAACCTCCCTCCAAGCATCCCATGCTTACTGTCAGTGGTAGACGAAGAGAGAAAGTGGCAATACCCACATCTGCAGCAGTGGTCACCACACAATCTTTCCTGCCTGGGCAGACTTCATTCTATTAACCCCTTCACGCCTAAGGGTAGAACAAATCTAAATGCCTAAGCACAATTTTGCAACGTTGACAATGTGTTAGTAAAACCATACATATCTTCACAACTATTTTCTACATCCAGGTGAATTATGTCTTGATTTTTTTTTAGGACAAATTGAGCTTTTATTTGGTGGTAAATGATAATGGATATCTCCTGATTGTTTTTAATATCAAAGGAAAACTGGCCTAAAACAGTAAAAAAAAAAATCTTTTTTTTTTTATTTAGCTGTGTGTTTCTTGTTACTACCATAACCTGCCACCAAAGAACAACCCAAAATAGATTCCCCAGCTCTTGTTGATCGCAGCAATACCATATATGTGTATGTTATTTGTTGTTTGTACCTGTAGTACAGCACAGAAACAATAGTGCCCATTTTCTTTTTGTCTTTTTTTTTTTTTTTACCTAAGACACACTGACACTGACATTGACACTAACTGACACTGATACCAATTTTTTTTTTATCTTGACCTTTGATCCTGACCTTTTGACCTTGACCTTTGACCCTGACCTTGGACCAAACACTAACCCTGGCACTGAACTAGATCAAACCTTGATCTAGGTATTTTTTCTTTATTTTTTAATATTTCTTTTTTTTTTTTTTATAAACATTTTTTTCCCTCTATGCCAGGAGTTAGAGAGATACAATGTATCTCTCTCCTCCATTCATAGAGAGAGAGAAAAAAACAAGGGGGCCGGGCTGTACAGTGACTGATCACTGTGATAGCCAATCAGAAGCTATCACACCGATCATGTGACCCGGAATCAGGAATCCCAGGTCCCGATGACACCACGGTCTTTGTGCTGGGAGCGCGCCTTGTGGAGCACTCCCAGCACAAAGACAGGTACGCAAATATGCGCCCCCATGGAAAAAAAGCCCAGTTCTGTGAGGCCGCACATTTGTGTTACGTCAGTGTCAAGAGGTTAAGGTGACTTTACTTCCTTGGCTTCTTTACTACTTCAGGTCTTTCCCCATCCTAGTCCCCCGATTAGTGTTCAAGTCCTCTATGATTAGGTACGTTTGGGAATAAAGGTCATCGATTCGCTAAAACACCTTTTTCATCCTAAAACAAGGGGTGGGTTGAGTCTCCATGATCTTCACTGTTACTGCCAGGCAGCTCAACAGACCCAGCTATCGGTAGTTTACTCGAGACGTGCAAAATCAGATTAGGTTTATTTGGGTTTATATGTACAGAGGTCAGGGGTTTTGCATCCTCCTAGAGCAGAAAGAAAACTCCTCCTATAAGCTCAAGCTAGTGCTTGTCTGAACACTGATAGAAGCCACAAGACTGCTCTAACTGCTGATG